CAGGTGCTTTTCTTAGGGGGCCACACTCGGAGCCTTTGACCTAAAGGTCTAACCCACAAGGCAGTGGAGCATCGTAAGGAGATGCAGTCCCATGGTAGCTGGTGACCAACAGTTGGTTCATACGCCATTCGTTCCATCAGGATACTGGAGCCCATGTGCACCATCCGTTTGGAATCAGGGTTTTCCAACTCCCCTAGGTGGATCCTCCACATCCACCAACCCGGTTAAAGCGCCGGACATTCGCTTTTCGTCCTCTCACTTTCGTAAACAACACTCCCGCCACGAGAAGGCAGTGAGTAGGACTCCGCTGGCAGAGGCTATATTTTCGCGTGGCCATATGAGAGCATTTCGAAAGGGAGAGCGGACTCTCCCCATTCTCGGCCGTACCAGGGCATTTTGGGAATCGCCTGCGACCGCCGGGAGTCGAACCCGGATCGACTGCTTGGAAGGCAGCCATGATAACCGCTACACAAAGTTTGAAGGAACAAGGCGGAGATACAGAACCTGACTATTTTTAAGCATCTTGAATGATGGAAACAAAGATGTCAGCTACAAGCTACTATGTAGAAGTCAGGGTGTCCTTATGTTCTCGCCAATGACCATAAGTTATAATGAGAAACTTGTGGTAATCATAGAATCCCAGAAAGTGAGTTTAAAACTATGCAGTGGCGAGACTATAATTTATGGACGGACCAAGATAACAGGTCCTGGATTTTAGCGCGAAATTTATTCATACATTTAGCTAGATAACGTTTTTGCATTTTAGCTGATGTCAGTTCGTGATGAAACTTACTTACTTTCACCTGTTACTCCCAATGGAGCATAGGCCGCCGACCAGCATTCTCCAACCCACTCTGTCCTGGGCTTTCTTTTCTAGTTCTATCCAGCTCTTGTTCATTCTTCTCATGTCTGTCTCTATTTCTCGGCGTAATGTGTTCTTTGGTCTTTCTCTTCTCCTTTGACCTTCAGGATTCCATGTGAGGGCTTGTCTTGTGGCACAGTTGGGTGATTTCCTCAATGTGTGCCCAATCCACTTCCAGCGCTTCTTCCTGATTTCTTCTTCCGCTGGAATCTGTTTTGTTGCCTCCCACAGTAACTTGTTGCTGATAGCGTCTGGCCAACGGATACGAAGTATTTTGCGTAGACAGCTGTTAATAAGCACTTGTATCTTCTGGATAATGACTTTCGTAGTTCTCCACGTCTCTGCCCCATACAGTAGAACTGTATTGACATTTGTATTGAAAATTCTAACCTTGGTGTTGGCTGACGATTGTTTTGAGCTCCAGATGTTCCTCAGTTGTAGATATGCTGCTCTTGCTTTGCCTATCCGCGCCCTCACATCTGCATCTGATCCACCGTGTTCATCAATGATGCTGCCCAGATATGTAAATGTTTCCACATCCTCCAAATCTTCTCCGTCAAGTGTAATTTGATTGGTGCATATTGTATTGTATCGGAGTCTTGCTTTTCTCTTTGTTTATATTGAGACCTACTGCTGCTGAGGCTGCTGCTTCACTGGTCGTTTTCTCCTGCATTTGTTGTTGCGTTTGTGATAGAAGAGCCAGATCATCCACGATGTCTAAATCGCCAAGCTGCATCCTACCTGTCCACTGTATTCCGTGATTTCCTCCAGATGGTGACGTCTTCATGATCCAGTCGATCGCCAGGAGAAAGAAAGGGTGAGAGTAAGCAACCTTGCCTAACACCGGTCTTTACCTCAAATGAGTCGGTGAGTTGTCCTCCGTGGACGATTTGGCAGTTTAGTCCATCATAGGAGTCCCATATGATATTGACTATCTTCTCAGGCACGCCGTAGTGTCGAAGAAGCCTCCATAGTGTCGTCCTGTCCACGCTATCAAATGCCTTCTCGTAGTTGATGAAGTTGATGTAGAGTGGTGAATCCCATTCGATTGATTGTTCCACAATGATCCGCAGAGTTGCGATTTGGTCTGTACACGATCTATCCTTACGAAATCCAGCCTGTTGATCACGAAGTTGAGCGTCCACGGAATCCTTCATCTTGTTTAACAATACTCTGTTGAAGACTTCTCCTAGTATTGAGAGAAGAGTGATGCCCCTGTAGTTATCGCACTTGCTGAGATCGCCTTTCTTTGGTATCTTGATCAGAAGTCCTTTTTTCCAGTCTATTGGTACTTGTTCTTCGTCCCAAATCTTACTGAAGAGGATGTGAAGTATCTTAGCAATTGCTGTTACATTTGCTTTCAGTGCCTCTGCCGGGATGTTGTCTGGTCCCGCTGCTTTGCAGCTCTTGATTTGTCCAATGGCCATGCTGATGTCCTCAATTGTTGGTGGGCCAACATCGATTGGGAGGTCTGTGGGTGCTGCTTCGATGTTGGGTGGGTTCAGTGGGGCTGGTCGATTCAAGAGTTCTTTGAAGTGTTCTACCCACCTGTTTCGTTGTTCTTCAATGTCGGTGATTACTTTGCCTTCCTTGCTTTTCACTGGTCTTTCTGGTTTACGGTAATTTCCAGCAAGTTTCTTGGTTGAATCATACAATTGTCTCATGTTTCCTTCTCTTGCAGCCTTTTCCGCTGTCGTTGCTAAATCTTCAACATATTTACGTTTGTCGGTTCTGATGCCCCTCTTCACTTGCTTATTTGCCTCTGTGTATTCGGCTTGTGCCTTGGCTTTTTCTGCTCTTGTTCGGCTGATATTGATTGCTGCCTTCTTGTTCCTCCTTTCTTTAATTTTATCCAGTGTACCAACAGTGATCCATTCCTTGTGATGGTGCTTCTTTTGGCCCAGAACCTCCTGACATGTTGAAACGATTGCCTTTTTGATACCTTTCCAGTTGCTCTCCATGGTAGTTCCTTCTCCACTGAGTAGATCATGAAAGGCCTGGAACCTGTTGCTGAGGGCTATGTTGAATTTGTTGAGTTTGTCAGCATCTCGAAGAAAGGCCGTATTAAACTTTTGTGATGTTGTCCGTTGTCCAGTGCTTCTTAAGTTTTAGTTTCATCTTGGCGACCAGCAAATGATGATTGGATGCTATATCAGCTCCTCTTCTGGTTCTCACATCCTCCATCGTCCTCCTGAACTTTTTGTTGATGCAGATATGATCGATTTGATTTTGTGTAGTGTGATCCGGTGAAATCCAAGTGACCTTGTGTATGTTTTTGTGTGGGAATATGGTGCCACCTATGACCAGTTTATTGAAGGCATATAGGTTTGCAAATCTCACCATTTTCGTTCCTTTCTCCCAGTCTATGTCGTCCCATGACGTCTTCGTATCCAGTGTTGTCCTTTCCAACATTGGCATTCAAATCTCCCATCAGAATGGTCAGGTCCTTGGTTGGGCACTTCTCGAAGATTGACTGCAGTCTATCGTAGAATTGGTCTTAGGCTTTTTCATCGTAGTCGTTGGTCGGCGCATAACATTGGATGACGTTCATTGTAATGCCCTCTCTCTTTGTTTTGAAGGAGGCTTTGATGATCCTTGGTCCATGAGATTTCCATCCTATAAGTGCATTTTGTGCTTTTCTGGATAGCATCAATGCCACTCCTTGTGTATGTGGGGCATTTTCTTCTTCATGACCGGAGTATAACAGAAGTTCCCCTGAAGCTAGTCGTCGTTGTCCAACCTGCGTCCAATGTGTTTCACTGATTCCAAGCACTTTCAGGTTGTATTTCCTCATTTCCGCAGCAATTTGGAAGACTCTGCCGGTCTCCCACATTGTCCGGACATTCCATGTACCTATAAAATTGTCGCTCTGGTTGTAAGAAGGTGCATCGGCCTCATGACTTCCGAAGGAACTCGGCTTTCATCATGACACGTCATAATTATTCCCTCTACTCCCAGGGCAGAGTTTGAATAATTTTTTCTGGTTAGTGTTTTTTTAGCGAGTTGATTTTCTACGGGATGGGGTCGCTAACCCCATGCCCAACCCTCCTCCTTTACCCGGGCTTGGGCCCGGCAGTAGCCCCCGGAAGAGCTACAGGCGGAGTTTCGTGATGAAAAATCCAAACCTAATTCCTAACTCTAGCCATCAACTGTAAATCATAATTCTAACTCTCCACACTGGTTTACAACCCCTATTTAGTCCTAGTAAGTAGATGCACATCCCCACGGTCACTTGAGCATCGCTCAAAGGTCGTCAATATACTATAGTCTCACTGAGAGAGGCACTAAACACTACATAATGAAGTGTTTTGATAGTGTGCGCTGAAAAATACCTTACTTAAGCCGTATATTTACTTGAAACAGAAACCTTTTAACTACAAAGTGGTTTTCGTTACTATTATTAAGTATCTCCACTCTTTTTTTAGCTATTTCAAGGACTGATCTTTCTGAGTTCACTGGATTTTTACTGCAGTTGTATACAATAAGCAAGCTTGCTGAGTGAAATGCTTAATATAGGAAACAACTTACAGCATGCTATAAAATTTGCCAGTGATACAGTTCAGTTCAAGCCTAATCTCCGTCTAAACCATGAATATTTTAGTACCAATTAGTACCAATTTGACGCTCACATCCTTGATCTTAGTACACTTCTACCCCAAACTTTTCCTTTCATGTTATTACGGAGTGTGGATATACAAGGTACTCAAACTTTCCCCATTTTTTGAAATCACAATGTAATGAGAGGCAAAGTGACTCACATATACTGCGTGCGCAAGCATATCTGGGTGGGATGTATCCAAACACTAATCTGGACATCTGATAAATGTAGGCTGAGTGGATGAGTTCATATCTTCAAGGTGCATTTTCGGCTATCATTACCATGAGCTGCCTTCAAAAATATCTATCTACCAGAAACACTCATACAAATAATAATAATAAGGCATTTGAGGGAACTTTTAGCATACGAATAACTCTAACTCGTAGTCAAGATGAAGACATTACAAGCAGCTACGTGACCTAACTTGACACGATGCTATCTGAGGATCATATGCCAGCTGACTTGATACTGAAGTTGTCGATCAACTCTAGCATATAAGTGCGGTATGAAAGTATCAATTAAAAAAAGATCATTACTTACCTTTAGGTTAACCTTCGTCAATAGTGAATCAGGATTCTCTAGATCTAGTGTATCTACAAACGCAGATGACTGTTTCCTCTTGCTTGTGGGTCTCCTAATCGTACATCCTGGAGTAAACCCAGACAACTGTCTTTGTCGTGATTTGCTTAGCTTAGTAATAGAGTTGGGATGCGGACCTTTTTGAGCAGTATTTCTCAACATTGAAAAAGAGCAAACACCCACCAAAGACTCAATGTTTGTATGAAATGAATCATGATCACCGAAATTTCCAATTAAATGTGGAGATTCATTGTGTGTGACATTGTAACCCTGGTCACGACCACCACAATGACTACTAGGTGAGTGACGCAGGCGAATCCTTAACTTCGGAATAAAAGGTGTATCCCTTGCAGGTTTGGGTGGAATAATTAATTTGGATGTGGCATACATATCCGACGTGACATATATATATATACAGCAATATTCTGATTAAGTTATTGAGAAATGGTACGTATATCCATATTAATTTTGACCACGGCCGAATATAAAGAGGAAAATGAAATACTTATTAGACCAGCTGGCTAACCGCCAACCTAACAGTTACGAGACCAGATATACAATCCCGCGCTAATACGTCCAGCAATTAACTTTGAAGTAACGCTACAGTAGGTTGGATAATATGCATATATCATTTATGATCAGTTATTATTCTTTACAAGCTTCGAAGTCGTATTTGATTTTAAAAAAACCTAATAATCCAGCTTGTTTTTATTAAGTTCTTTTTTACAGTGTGTAGGGCCAGTGAAATATAATAGAGTCCTAGTCAAATCAGCCATCAAGTCTCACAGAGCCCTTTTCTCAGATATGACTAGGATTTTTAAGAAGGGCCGAACCAAAACTCCTTAGGCCACCAAAACCGCAGGGTGAACCATGAAAGTTTGAGTGATCTGTGATATTTTGCCTGAACCATCCCAAAATGTGTTCCTAAGTTAACCAAGTATACCTGACCAGTCACTTAGCTTGGATCGACATCTGAAAGTTTGAAAAACAAATAATTCTATCCCACTCAGTGTGATACAGGAAGAGAGTGGTTAAACAGGCACTCATTTGATGCCTGGTATGAGCACAACGGTATAAACTATTTAGTGGATTCGCCATCATCTTGTAAAATGAAGCCCAGCTGGGATGATAATGTAGCGGTAAATAAATCCAAAAAATCAATAGCTCTGTAGGTCTTCCACACTGGATGCTGACCACATTAGCTTTAGCGAACTCATCTAGCTGAAAGTGCTCGGTCATGCATTCGCACCAGATCACCAGTGGAAACGCCGTGCTCAACTTCTCCTGAGATCACTAGCCAGTTTAGATCGGTCAATTCTCGATATACTGATAATCTATGAAATATATCTTCCAACCTCTATGCCTCTGTCTTTTGATTTCACTGGATGGGCACGATTCAACTGTAGGTGTTATTGGTAAGGTGGTTTCAAACTACAATACCTGTAGCATCCTCATTGATGAAACCGACGTGATCTGGTACACCAACCTATAAACTGTGAGTCTGTTCCGTTTTGGAATTTCATAAATCATTGCTTTATTTTAAATTTTATGTTATTTTTTCCACGTTCATTCTAGTACTTGATATTTCACTGTGACGGAACAGGCATACAAGGCACTTAAGTTAAAGACTAGACCCCCACCTTCGTTTAAACTTATGTTGTCTCCAGTCATAGTTGGGCACACAATCGATCCATACTACCAACAAATACTCTATAAGCACCCAGAGATATACCAACCGCAACCGAAATTGCCGTGTGTAACCAGAAATGTTACATATCACGACTACAGGACCACCTGTATTCTCGAAAGCACACCGACTGGCTCCCGAAAAGCTGAGGTTGGCTAAAAACGAACTGGACCACATGATAGAGTTAGGAATCATTCAACCATCAAACAGACCATGGTCATCTTCCTTACACATTGTCCCTAAAAAGGACAGCAGCGATCAACGTCCAACTGGTGACTATAGATGTTTGAATAAAAAACCATTCCCGACCGTTACTCGTTGCCTTACATTCACGACTTGATAGCTGCCTTAAAAGGTACAACTGTCAAAGCCTATAACCAAATCGTTATTGCTACTGACGATATTCCAAAAACACTATCATAACTCCCTTCAGACTCTACGAACTTTTGCGAATGCATTTCGGCCTAAGAAATGCTGCCCCGACTTTCCAAAGATTCATCGATGACGTCTTTCGAGGTCTCAACTTCGCACATGAGTATGTTGATGACTGTCTGGCAGCAAGTCCGAACAGAGAATCACATCTCTAGCATCTGGACATTGTGTTCAAACGACTTCAAAAGTATGGCATTACAGCAAACATTCAGAAATGCCAAATCGGAACCGACTCCTTAGACTTCCTAGGATACACTATTGATACTCAAGGCATCCGACCCCTTAGAAGCAAAGTGGCGGCCATTCTGGATTATCCAAAGCCGACCGCCATTAAACAATTGCGCACATTTAACGTTCTTGTACGTTTCTATAGACGGTTCATTCCGAAATGCGCATTCCTTATGAAACTGTTAACTAACCAACTTCGTTGAAATGCGAAATCCATCAATTCGGACGACACCTCACGAAAGGCATTCTCCACAATTAAGGAACTTATTGCAAAGGCAACCTTGCTAGCACATCAGGACACTGAAGCGCCCGTCAGTATCGCCGTAGACGCATCCGACTCAGCAATCGGAGGAGTATTACGACAATGTGTTAATCACTTCTGGCTACCTTTAGGATTCTTCTCGAGACGATTGTTAGATACTGAATCGAGGCATTATACATAACAAAAAGTTTAATATGTTTATACGTATATATTTACTCCAGAAAGACAAAAATTTCTTCTTGATATGTGTTTGGCTTATATTTCTATCTTTAAAAAACCGAAAAAATTATTAATCGCTTTTACGTTGTCGCAGGTGTACGATTTTATTTACTTTTTTTCTCCTGCTTTGTGTCTTTACCCGGGTACGAGTGTATCTCGACATGCACTTTCATATTCTTTTTTCTTTTACAGGACGGCTGGAAAATACGATAGAAAACGATGAAGTTTACGAGGAACTGAAATTTTCATTGTACTTTGTTTCTTTATTACTATTTTGTACTTCATGGCCCCTTGTAGTAAGGAAAGACGACCAGACGCTGCTAAACATAGCAAGCTTTCAGAAGAGTGTATTCCAACAACAAACTCGTTGGGTTCAGACTTCCGCACCAGATCACGAGAGAATCGATTGTATTAGAAAAGCTCAATCGTTTCTATTTCTCGATCCGTAACATTGTGGGCTGTACTTAACCCCAATCACAAGACACAACAATTATTTTGTCTCCAGGTTAGGAAGTTACGTCTTGATGAATCTACAATTTTGTAACAAGATCTTTTTTACTAGTGGCAAAGATAAACGCAATTAATACCGACACAGATATCACTCTTGCCGTTCGACTGTATTTTTAAGAGTTATTGAGACTTTGTTTTGTATTGCAGGTACTCGCTTATTGTCAACTTTTTATTCTTCTAGAAACAATATAATGTTTGATTTGTTCTCAAATCGTATCACATTCTACCACTCAATCAACTGAGTAACACGCACAGTAATAACGTCTCTACTACTCCTCACAACATATCTGCAGAGATGTGTGAATGTCTTATTTCGGAGTGAACTACCGGACAGATATCACTGTATCCAGAGGCCCTACTGCTTTTTTGCTTCTCTTTTTTCAGCATCACGCTCTCGGTGCCCAGTTATGGGACTTCCTACGCTTAAAGAAATCTTAACTTACGCGTTTTTCAGAGTGACAACTCAAACCAAGCGTCGTTTGTATTTATTTTATAACACCTATAAAACTCTTAAAAGGTTGCATCGCATAAATAATTAGTACGATCATAATTCTAACAAAATAATGCCGAGTTTGGTCCTGATTTACGTTTCTAACGGTTGTAACGTGAACGTGATGCCATTTTTTGGAACAGATTATAAAGACTGAACCTACAATTCAATACTTAAACCAGCATGGTCATTAAATCTCTGTGACACCTACACGAATGTACTGCGCTTTATTTTTTGATTTCATCTCTTTGACAACCTTACATAGCATTTGTAATATGGGTTAGATATCCATTTAATATTTAATGAAGATAACTAATGGTAAAGGTTATAAGAGACAAGTCAGATTACATACGGCTATGAGATGGTAAGGACTAATAGCAAACCAGAGGATATGAAAGAGAATGTTGTAAAATTTTCAGTGTTAGGAAAATAAATCATTGAACAACTCACAAGAATTTAGGACGTTTGAGCTTCTTTTGATCGGCTTTAGTTGATCAGCATCCATAAGATTAGTGAGTTATCTGTCTTCTTGTAATAAGAAAAATAAAAGCACATGACACTTAGGAAGAATAATTTGGTTTTAACCATTAGAGAATATCGTCGTCGGAAACTGAAAATGAGGGTTAGGAGCAGAAGGTAATGGTTAATAATCAATAAATAGTAGGGGAGAATAAAGCATGTTTTCTGTAGTTTGGCTATATTCATACTAACGACAATGAGGTTCGTTACATTCTTGTTCCGTCTAGATATTAGGCGGTCCATAATAAAGTGCCTCATTGGTATGTGGGAGTTCAAGGAATAGTTGGTGAAGTTCTTTAGAGTTTAGTAACAGGCTTATTAGCCTTTTAAATTTGGTAAAGATGTCACAGTAGGCGATAAAGTACTGGGAGTATACTATCGGTAATGCTCTTATGGAGGAGAGTAGGCCGTCCACCAGTATTCTACCTCCAACTCTGTCCTAGGCAATCCCACCCCGTTATTTACAATTGATATTCATCCTTTTCATGTTTGCTTCCAATTCTCGATGCAGTGTGTTCTCTGGCCTTCCTCCTTTCCGTTTCCATTCAGGATTCCAAGTTAGCGCTTGCCTCATGATGCAGTATGGTGATTTCCTCAGTGTGTGTCCTATCCACTTCCAGAGTCTCTTCGTAATTTCCTCTTCGGCTAGAAGCTGGTTTGTCCTCTCCTACAGTGGATTGTTGTTGATGTTATCTGGCCAACGGACAGTTGCTTATAAGTACTTGTACTTTTTTGATAATGGTCGCAGCAGTTCTCCAAGTCGCAGCTCCGTACAGTAGGACTGTCTTGACGTTCGTATTGAAGATTCTCACTTCGAATTTAGTTGACAGTTGTTTTGAGTTCCATATGTGCTTCAGTTGTAGAAATGTGGTCCTTGCTTTGTCAATCCTCGCCTTTACATCTGCATCCGATCCTCCTTGTTCATCAATGATGCTTCTCAGGTACGTGAATGTTTCTACATCTTCCAGAGTTTCTCCATCAAGTGTGATTGGATTGCTGTTCTCCGTGTTGTACTTAACGATCTCCTAAGGTATACAATAGTT